GTGTGTGTGTGTGTGTGTGTGTGTGTGTGTGTGTGTGTGTGTGTGTGTGTGTGTGTTAGGGCTTTACCCCTACCTCAATTTCGTTATTCGGATATTCATATTTATTTATTTATTTATTTCCAATATCAACGTAAGAGCTTGTGCCTGTTCGGGGGGTGCTAACACTTAACCATAAACGTTATCGTTTACTTTCTCCGTCTTTATATGTAGATATGACGTGTGGCGCAGTGGATAGAGTGTTGGTGTTCGGATCAAGGGAGCACAGGTTCAAACCCCACTGCAGTCAGCTTGTCGTTGTGTCCCTGAGACACTTCACCCCAAATTGCTCCTGCTCCCAAGCTCAACCTTCTCCCTTCCAACCGGACCTAACCACTTATCACCACCACCAGTGTCTAGACCCAGGGGGTTCATCGGAAACGGTTCTTTCCCTTCCCGAATGATATCCTACAAAACCTGGGCCTAACCGCCAAACACCATTTCATTCACTTGTCATAAACTGTCATCATTATGTTTAATTTATATAATGTGACCCGATAATAAACATGTATTCTATACATCACGTCTTTCCTGATTGAAAGGGTAATTAGTGTATAATACTGAGGTGTGGTGATCAGAGGAAGTCACACAACTCAGAGAGTACAGGAGAGTGTGAGCCGGAGTGGGTGTAACGTAGGTCCAAAGCTGCAACTTTCTGGATTCAATGCAAATCATAGGAGCTTTGTCTGCATAATTCAACAAACTGTTATCAAAATTGCAAATCTGACTACTGCAATAGTCAAATATAAGAAGGCACGATATAGGTTAAATACAGAAGAATACAGATTTATTTTCTTTGAATTCTGATTTTAATACGAAAAAATCTGAAATTTGAATTCAAAATGTAAATCAAATGTAATCTCAGAGATCTAAGAAACAAGTCAGAACCCTGAAACTAAAATTTAAATTCTGAGTTTAATCTAAGAATTTGGACTATCCCCAGAATTCTGATTTAAATTTGGAATTCAAATTTTCTCAGATTAAAGTCAGAATAAAAAAAAATCTGAGAATTCTGAGATTGAAGTCAGAATTTTAAATCTTCTTTAATCTCCAAATTATGATTTAATTCTGAGATTAAGTAATCAGAATAAACTTTTGCTCGGATCCCAATACGTTTTCACATATGGCCCTAATCCTCTTCCGTATTTAAAGGTTAAATAATTATAAAAGTTTAAATGAAGTATTGCGGAGCTGCAAAAACATCCTGGCCTACAAACATGAACAGTATTCCAAAGACTTATTTTAAAAAACTTGTTTGTTACAGATCCTCTTATAAAATGATATTTGATTGATCATTTTAATGTGTTTTCCTAAATCAAGCAAATTTAATAATGTGAAAATTATCTATCCCTCCATTATCGTGAATCAATCTCAGTTGCAATATCAGTCCAACGAATTAGTAATCTTTTTCGAATCGTGCAGCCCTATAAAAACAAATTAAAATAAATAGTTGCAAGCCTTTCTGTTAGTTTAATCATTAGTTCATAGAGGATTTGAAACCAGAGCACACAACAAACACCAGCTGTTTAAATGCAGCTCAGTTACACAGCGACTGGCTGAGAGCTCATCTAAATATCGTCAGACTGCAGGAGTGTGAACATGCATAACTCACTGACTTGGACTTGGCAACAGCTGATGAATTAGCTTCTGTTGACCTTCATTTAAGCAATTATACTGACAAAAGTTACAATAAAGTATTAGGATGACTTAAAACAAAAAAATAGATGTTACTCGAGATGGTAACCCAACTTTATATCTTTACAATTTTCAGTGTTTTCATTTTTAAATGTTAGAAAAACTAAGCTATGTTTGGTTGTCCTGACGCCCATCTTTTGTGGGTTGGTAAATGAGATTGACTGTTTCAACTGTTTCCATTTTGTTTTGTTAAATACGATTCCAACAATTGACCAATACATGGGAACATACGTTTTTATCTTTTAAATCGTTCATATAATTTGTATGTTTTTAAATGTGATAGTCAAGATGTTAAGTTTCTCTGAGAGCCACCTCCCATGAGAGAACAATTAAGCTGGACATCTGAGAGTCATTTCCCATCATTCCCAGACTTACATCATGCTTTTTATATCCCATAGCTCTGTGTAGACATGTAAACATCAGAAATGTGTGTGTGTGTGTGTGTGTGTGTGTGTGTGTGTGTGTGTGTGTGTGTGTGTGTGTGTGTGTGTGTGTGTGTGTGTGTGTGTGTTGGGTCTCTCCAGCTGGAACATCTTTCATCTCTGCGTTTGTCATCTCTCATCCCTCTATTTCTATGACAACTGCCCCTCCCCCTCCTCTCTTTCTCTTTTTATCCATCTATCCATACATCTCTGCCCACCAGACTCCCTCTCCCTTCCCATCATCACTCAGTGCATCAGGCTCCATCCACCCCCTGTCATGGTGGGAGTGTGTCGGAGGACGATCAAACCCCTCTTTGTATTGCATGTGTCAAGATTTGAAACTGCTGCAACTATAACTATAAATAAATAAATATATATAACTATAACTACATAGCATTTGTGCTACTTTATTTCCAGGCTTGTCCTTAACAGTGTCGATTGTAATTTATGTTACTGTTGTCTAAAGTTAATCACATTCGTGCCTAAAGAGTTCGACATGTAATATATCTTAACATTTCAAGTGTGTCATTTAGGTGCAACAAAGAGGAATACATGATGTAATAGAGATGTAAATAAAGGTTAGATGTTTAAAACGGATGAAAGTTTGGTTATAATCTGTATAACTAACACACAAATCCACAAAGGAAACATTGCACAGGAAGGGGCATCTTGCCTTGTTTCTTTTTCTGCTTTCCCATTTGTACAAGTTGTATTTGTATGTTTGTACCATCTTGCCACGATAGCATGAAAACATTATTAAAAAGTTGATACAAAAAAGTTTAGCAAGTTTACAAAAAAGTATTGTTTTTAAATAATGAATTAGACTGTCTCTGTGACAGGGGGGGAGGGCTCCGAAAGTAAGGGCTCTTTGGATTACCGAGGCAGTGCAGTAACTGCAGCCTGAGCCGCTAGACAAAGCCACCTGGTACAGTGTCAGTGCAGTCAGGCTACTGCAGCTGGGTTGATGGGTACATTGTATTGTCCCAGAAAATATACATAAATAGATAGTAAATGTTGGTTAGAAAAAAATATGTTTACAAAAACTACAATTATTTTCTTTCATCCCTTATACTGTGTATCATTATGTTACTTATGCACATTATTATAAGTAGTAGAGTATTTGTAGAGACTCTACTGGTGGATGCGTCATTGCTTCATAGATTTAATTATATCAATATTTCACAACATGGTTTTATGTAAAGAAATATTATTTTTCAAGCCATATTTTTCAGGGTTTAGCATTTCAAAACAGTGGGAGGCATGCATATATTACAGTTTTTCTCGATTGCTAACACACATTTTTTTTTTTATTTGCTCAGTTTCTCAGAACACTAAACACAATTCACAAAACCACACACCCAAAGTGCAAAACACCTCATTTCTGCTGCTAAATGAAGAACTGTCCTCAAAACTACATAAACACTTACCAAATGCAAACTTTTGCACCAAATATAACACACTTCATTCTTAATACTAGATGGTTTGACCACCCAACTACACACTGCTGAGCATAATCTAAAGCACTTTCATCTGTTATGGGCTATGCTCTGTACATACAGTAGAGGTTTCTGCAGAGAAAGATTGCTTGAGTATACAGAAATACAGTAAATGAAGAAATACAAATGAGTTGTTGAAAAAAATCATATTTTATTCAAATATAACATTGTGCAACATGCATCTCAGCACACAGTTACTATGCTTCGGATCTCTCTAAGTGTGATGCATTGTTTGCCAAAACCAAGTTTGTAACTACTGCTTCCTGTGCCTCATTGAAAATCCTTAGCTTTCCACCTGCACCTATTTTTTTCTCAGTCCTTCAGATAAACAACAAAGATATAGTGGATGTTCAGTGTCTGTGTTGCATAAAAGTAAGTACCACAGTAAAATGTGCATGATTTGTGTACAGTTATAGTATGCAACATGCTAACAATTCAGTTACAGTAATGAAGTAAATACGTTTCACACAACAGATATAAGCACTGATATATCATGAATTATGCAGAGCTGAAAACGGGGAACTAACCTGTTTTCAAGTCTAAGTGTCCGGATTACAGAGGCAACAGTAAATCGGCTTAGATTAGGCTGAACCCTCTGAACTTCCTCTCTCATCTTCACACCATGGTTGATAACATTTCATTTCATTAGAGAGTATTCTTCTTTGTCCACGTCCTCTCCCTCCAGCTCTACCTCTACCTCTCATTCCTCCTCCTCTCACTCTCAGCCCAGCTCTTCCTCTCACTCTCAGCCCAGCTCTTCCTCTCACTCTCAGCCCATCTCTTCCTCTTCCTCTTGCTTCCATTGTTGCTGTAAGAAAGTACTCACCTGTGGTCTTTTTATAGTGCTAACATCCTGATTGATGAGCCAACAATTATGCATTCAGGTGTTTGGTCAGGTGGAACGTGTTTCTTGATCATTGGTCCATGTGTGAGGCATTTTGAATATCAGTGTTTTGTATGTGCTAACACGTGACTTTATGTCAGATTCCTGTGTCTTACGTGGAGAAACGTGTGCAGTGGTTTGCAAAAAGTGCCATGTTGATTTGCAAATTGTGTGAAAAGCTGAAAACGTGTTTAGAGTTTTGGAGATTTGAGCTGATGTTTTGCTCTTTGAGTGTCAGTTAAAATAATTGTGCTTTATGTATAATTTTAGTGTGTTAGCAATCGAGAAAAACTGTAAATGACATGTCCCTTTGTTTTGACAGTGACCTGGCCTTGCGAAACTGCCTGCTAACTTCAGAAATGTCAGTTAAGATCGGAGACTATGGCCTTTCTCATAGCAGATACAAGGTCAGACTGCCTCAATGTCATATTTATTGAGTGCTTTCTTTTCTTATTGATCACCCTATCGTTACTCAAACATGGTTTTCTCTTGTCGCTCAATAGGATGATTATTATGTAACCCAGGACCAGATTTGGGTGCCCCTGCGCTGGATTGCACCTGAGCTCATAGACGAAGTCCACGGAAACCTGCTGGTCGTTGACCAAACAAAATCCAGTAACATATGGTGAGATATTTAAAGAGTGACTACCTGGAAAAATGTATGTTTAATAATGAGATAACACTACCTCACCTACCTCACCTTTCTCACAATATACACATTTAAGATATCATAAGATACTACATATAAGATATCTTTCCTTGTGTATTATTAAAATGGGAACTGCTTGAATGTTTCTCAGGATGTGTTTTGTTTTGATCTGCTCTGGTTTTCATTATGGAACGATTGTATGTCTACTGCACAAATATAAACTTATGTAGGTTAAAGATTTTCCATGTTTATGAATGGTGAATACATATTTATTTCCCCATTCCAGGTCATTGGGGGTGACTGTGTGGGAGCTGTTTGAGCTGGGAAACCAGCCGTACAGACACTACTCTGACAGACAGGTGCTGACATATGCTGTGAAGGAACAGCAGCTCAAACTACCCAAGCCCCTGCTCCAATTCCCCCTGGATGAGCGCTGGTGAGACAGAGCTGCATGCATTGCACACACATTTGGAGAAAACATACTTTACATGTACAGGCTCACTCTCAAACTGTCATTTATCTTGATACCACATACATTACCAAGCCTTTAGGCTGACCAATTATTTTCTAACAAGTCAGTGTGTCTTGTTTTTAAAATTGGTTTGTGCTTATGGTGCTGCACCAGCAATATTTCTTTGTGCTAGCGAGGGCAGATGATCAATACTTTCCCTATTCTTTATGATCCCCTTTGGCATTGGCCATTCATCTTCACCTGGGACGCCAGCCAAATATTTTATTTATTTATTTTTTGCAAATTGTTCTTCACTTAATTAAATGTGCTCAACTGAGTAGCCAAACAACTACACACATACACACGTTCAAGTTGTTGCCACAAAATGCTTACTCCAATGATTTTCTTTTATATTGCCTTGTTAGTCTAAAAAAACATTTTAAGTTTTGCTTATTTGCTAATTATATCAAAACCAGTATATATTAATAAGTTCTTCTGAGCCAACAGATATGCAGATGTAAGGACAATTATAACTGATCATTTGTGGCTCTTTCTGTCAAGGTACGAGGTGATGCAGTTCTGCTGGCTACAGCCAGAGCTGAGGCCCAGCAGTGAGGAAGTCCACCTTCTGGTCACATACCTGTGTGCCAAAGGCTCCAGTGAGGCTGAGGAAGACTTTGAACAACGTTGGAACACATTACGACCCAATCTACTCGGCAGCACCTCCCATACAGTAACATCCACAGCCCTAGTCCTGACCCCTACCCCCCCCTCGGCTGACGTCCCCAGTCCAGACCAAACTCAAGCAGTGGAGCTGGCCTCCTCTGCTTCGTCCTCCTTCCCCCTCCTGGAGCACTTCTCTGACAGTTTCCACTCTGACACAGGGGACGACCTGCTGACCGTCACAGAGACCAGCCATGGTTTGAACTTTGAGTACAAGTGGGAGCAGGCCCGAGCGGAGCAGCCCTACTGCTCCTCCTCCACCAGTGGCCCACTCGGCCAGGGAAACCCATATTACCAAGATATCTACTATTCAAGTAAAGGAAGCACCTCAGAGGGCTGCAAGAGTGAGAGCCTGACCTCAGACTTATCCCCATCCTATTATGAACCTGAACACCCTGGTGTGGTCCCAGTGTTGAGTGCACACAGCCCCTCTGTCAGCAGTGAGTACTACATTCGCATAGAGGAACCTGTAGAGTGTAACATTAACCTGGATGATGATAGCATTGTGGACTACAGCCCAGAACTGGCGGCCAGCAGCAGAAGGTTGTCCTCCGAGAGCAGGACTGGTTCATCCATGGCGCAGCCCAGTGCTTACTGGTCAACTGACAACAACAAATCTTCTGCCTGTGACTCTGATTCAAGCCCCACTGTCCAACTCACCATGGAGCCTCTGCTGAGGCAGTCATCCAGCACCAGCCATGTAAAGCTAGGCAACTTGCACAACTGCTTCTCATCCAGCCAGGACGACACAGGCTTCTGTGAAGAGTCATCAGCATACAAGGCACGCCAGCCCTGTCTGTCTGAACTTGAAACATCGCCAAAGCCCAGATCAAACTTTCTTCAGCCAGAGGGGCGCTTAGATAACCCACGCAGTTTGTCACAAGCTGTCAGCAGCCCCAGCTTAGGGTTCTGCGATCCCTACCTTGAAGCGAGCACAGGTCGGAGCACCGTCAATGAAAGCTGCCATAACATGATGGGTCCCCTCAGAAAGACACTACCCATTGTGAACCACATTAGCATTGATGTAGGGACTGACGACGGCCTGCTGGTGGGCCAGCATAGAAGCGACGACATTGAGGATGACCTTTTTTCTGAAGGAGAGGCCACCAACTGGACATCAAATCATTCAGCAAACAATAATAGCCTGAGCTTTGACGTCAGGCAGACAGGCAGTGGGCAAGACAGCTATCTTGACCTTCAATATGCTGGTCACCCTAACACTACAGAATCATGGTCTTTAACCAAGGCCACCACCAGAACCTTCCACGGCTCCAGAGCTTGTGGCACCTTGGAGGCAAGAGGAGACTCTGGTTGTAACGCTGCTAGCAAGTCCACGGAATTAGGTTCATACATTCACTTATGGCACAAAGAAAGAGACGAAGCTGTCACTCAAGCGGAAAGGAACTCAACTGCAGAAAATCTGAGAAGTATTGATTCTTTTAACAGCTCAGGTATTAACGCCAGAGGTACAGAGGGTGGAACAATGGAGGGGAAATGTGAAAAGCAACTGTTGCATAATGGGGAGAGACAGTACTCTGAGCCTAGGATGATCCCTGAGCCATGTTTTATAAAGTCTCCATCCACGTTCAAAGAGCCACAGAATGGTCAAACAGCAGCTTTTTCAGACAAGCAGAGAGGTACCACGTGGGAGGGGGTTTCAACAGGAATCTCTGTTGGTCTAGTAGACAAGAGGCTAAACTATCCAGAGACATTGGAAAGTAGCGGAGTGTTGGACAGTGGAGTGGTTGTCGTCAGAGACTCCAGTTTTAACTTGGTTGAGCTTGGTGACTACAGTGAAGATGATGATGATGACATCACAGATATTACCTCGGGGATCTTTGCTGACTTCAACCTGGATTATGCTGAAGTAGAGGAGGAAGAGCTAAGCCCAATGAAGCATTTAGAGGGAACTCCTGACTCTGCAGACACACTCAACCTCTCCTCGTCGATGGTAAGCTCCTGTGATCAGTCCTTCAGCCCCGATCCCTTCAATACCCCTGTCCTACCCAAATCCCTAGACAGCGGCTATGACACGGAAAACAACGAATCTCCAGAGTTTTTCTTCAAAGAGCTTGGAGATCCCCATGGGGTTGAGAGAGGTGGTGAACCTGAACTTGTTCTGCAGGTTGGTTTGGGTCAAGGGGTCAAGGGGACTTCCAAAAGCACCTTAGAGCTACAGTTTAAGGGCCTGACTGATAAGAACCCATATAGGGACTCAGCCTATTTCTCTGACTATGATGCTGAAAATGAGAGGAGCCCTCAAGAGGAAGGCAGTAAGTTCTTTGCAGGTCCGAAAAACTGTGACTTTCACACTGAGAAATTGAGCTCCATAAGAGTTGATGATTTTGTCAAAAGGCAATTTAACCAGGACAATTTGACAAACGTAAAACACATCAGGCATTGTGCGCTGGTGAATCTCTCCGAGGGGAAAGCTACTTCACATCATCCCCTCCCTACCCCTGGTGTGTCAATGCTGTCACCCTATCCTCCTCAGATGGGCGGTTGCCTGACGAAAGAGTCTGCCCCTGCAGAGGAGGACCTCGGGTTGCATACGGAACACTCAGAAGACCCTTCCTCTGAGCTTAACTACTCCATCGCGTCTGAAGCCTCTTCTAATGTCCAAGAGGCCTCGGGACACCATGAGGAGGGGAACAGAAGAGCAGAAGATTGTTCCCCTCTTCAGTCTTTGCTTTCTGACTCCACTTTATCTGACTATAGAGATGAGGCCCACAAAGAAAATGAAAACGGTGATGGTGATCCACAGAGGAAGAGCTGCCTGAATTCAACCATGTCAAGGAAGAGACAGAGGACAGAAGGGAGGGTGTGAGGATAAATGAGGACGATTTTGAGGACATAGACGCAGGGGAGTGCGACTCACAGGACAGCTTATGTGAAGAATCCAACGGCCCCGTCGACCTGTCCACTTCCTCGTCATTGTTGGAGCTGTGCGGAGAAGATGTGAGGGCTCCGCTGGAGGAGGCAGAGGATGAAGATGACTCGGATGACAGTGAGTCTGATGAAGAGTTGAGGACCTATAACATCCAAGATGAAGGCAGTGAGGAGAGTGATGATGATTTCAGCACAGTGCCAGTAGTAATAAGCGACTGCAGCAGGGCGCGACACCTCCGCAGCCTCCTGAAAATCCCCGGCCTGCTCACCCAGTCCTTCTGTGACGAGTTGGAGAGGAAGAAAAAAGCTGTGTCCTTTTTTGACGATGTCACAGTGTTCCTTTTTGACCAGGTATGTCACCTTGATAGGTTTAAATTGTGCAATGTGTACTGTATTGTCTGTTTAACAATTACTGTATTGCATTAGAGTCCGTAAGGAATATGTTTTGTTTATTAATTCCAGGAAAGCCCCACGGGAGAGCTGGTTGACTTCGCCTTCTCTACAGAAACGGAGACCAGTGCACAGGAATCTTTAGAGGAAAAAAACAATGATTCCCAACAGCAACTCAACCCTGGACTTGAAGCTCAATCCTGTGAACCATTCTGTGTTTCTGAAGAAACAGATGGGAACAACTCCGAAGAGGGTGAGTTTGTAAAGGACAAAGTCATTCCGGTCGTATCATCATACATTCACTATGACTGTAACAGTGTCTGTGTGCTTTTAGGTGGGGGATATGAATGGGAAGATGACCTCTTGTTGGAGCCCCGCCCGTCCTCACCTGAGACCCTCCCTGAACCCAAGTCTTCACCCACATGCACCTCCAACAGTCCTGAGGCTCCTAAACCTGCAGCTGTAGCACTTAACCGTTTTATGGTCTCACGATTCTCCATCACACATGTCTCGGACCCCCACATGGGCTCAGTAACAGGTCTGTATCAACTTTCCTTCATACATAATCTTGATTTATTTATAATAGTTATTTAATTTCCACTGAAATACAATCACTTATTTCTTATATCTAAAATGTTCAGTTACCCAAAAGTCGAATTTACATGAAATGTTTATTTTGTTGCTACAACACAAATATCTGCTCTTTAAATTATATGTTGTCTGTTCGCCCTTCGAGAACATCGTATTAACCAAAAGAGAGATATTTTGGTTTACTTTGTTAGCTTCATAGTTGGAGTAAATTCTGCACATTATGTCTTACCAAAACGTATTGCTTAAAATAAAATTCCAGTATGATTGAATGTGGCTGGTAAGAAGTGCTGTCCTTTATTTTTGTGTGAGTTCTTTACATGGCTTTGGTAAACACACATCATAATGAAATCTGTATAATCAGCATTTTGAGGGATGTTTTGGTCAATATTTGAGAGTTAGCAATATACTGAATCCACAGATGGTGAGGGCTGTACAAACACCATTTTAGTCTATAGTTGTCTCTAAAACAAATGATCTTGGTGGGGGATATGGCTTCTTATGCTTTTGAAAAATCTTTTGAGTATCACTTGTTGGTTTGACTTTAATCCAAAGCCAACATACTTATTTTCTTTATTTTTGTCCTACAGGGAACATTGAAGATAGCCCAAAACATTGAGGGCCCCATCATCTTCACGGGAGGAGGACGAGTCCTTCTCAACGCGGAAAAGCAGTATTATTATATTTAGATGTTTTACAGAGTTTTATTTTTTATCAACGTTTGGGGCATCTGGCTCTGGTGCCCCGTTATGAGACTGTGCCTCATATTGTAGTGAAAGACCCTCAGTTATTTGCACCTTTTAGTTTTTTAATTTGTGGAAAAAGTGATGCTGCTGGTAAGGCAACCTGAGCGAGACAACCAAGAGTGGATACAAAGTCAGATCATATTGTTTGAAGAAATATTAATCATCAATATACTTCTTTATCATATACTATATGACAAAAACACATTTGCTTGATGCAGCATCGTTTTTTGTTGGTAACCTTACAGTAAAGGTAAATGACGTTTAAAATAAAATAAATACACAGGGAGAAAAAAATGAATTGAAAGGCTTATATCTGCTCCTCTCATTGGCTGCCTTCTTCTATCTGCTTACCATTGATCCAGATGTTTTAAAGACTGTTACAGCTCTCATTGTTCGAGCTAGAGAACACTGCTTGATGATTGTTGCATAACAAGCGATCGTTGATATCCAAACAGAAGATCAGACCTTTTAGGAGTGGGCGGTGGGGTTTGAAGACGGAAGTGCTGAAACTTAATTTATCCCTTAATCCAAGTCATATCCTTATCATATTGACGGGGGATTCAGTGCGTTATGGGAACATAAAGAAATAAATGAAGGTGATGTCATTCCCTTATTATCACCATCAAATATTCTGTTAATGATAACCTACAGTATTATGTCTACAGTGACCATATCTGTCTGAAGTACTTTCATACATTTGTAGAAGTGATGGCTCTGTCTTCATCTCCCCAACCTTGAATGAAATATCTAAACATGTGAGGTTTTCTTATGTGTGTCCACAGTGCCAGCTATAGGTTCACTTTATTTTGTTGCATATTAGCTATGTTTATATGACATGCCATCAGCAATAGAAGGACACCAAAGGGAAGGGTGTTTTAACACAATTTAGCGGTGTCATGCTAATATGCCAGTCATAAATGTTGAATGTCATCTTTATGCATATTTTCTACGTCTACGTATTGTCATACATAATCTATTCTATTACATTTGTGCTGAGTGCCAGAGTCTGGGGTATACACAAAAAAGGACATTCAAAATATGACAAATCTCACATATTGTATGAATGTTTTATCAATATGTAGCAGGTAGCTTGGCTTGAATTACTACTGCTGTATCGACAGCTCCCTCCCCCCTCTCTATTGTGCTGTAGTGCCAATTCAGTTTCCCCTCACTTTGCCTTTTAAGTTTCGCAAAAGAGAAAACGCAGCTAGTATTTTTGTACAATTTCAAAAGATGCAATCCAGGATATCCATCTCTAAGATTTGCCAAAGAGATATTACCGAGCCTATTGGCTAAAGTGGCAGACACCTTTGGAGAAGGTGAGGTGGGTTGCTCTATGCACCAGTAGTAACATCATTGCTGTTCCACCCCCCCACCCCCCTCACTCATCGCTACTGTACTATCCCAAACAAATAAATCCAAATACTTTTTCCCTTCTTGTTTCTGTGATATTTGTATCTGCATTTATGTCAAAGAACAAAAGAAGAACACATCAAAACATGACACAACACAACACATACAAATATGACGTTTCTGCCCATTTAGATTTATTTTGGACAAGATAATTTATATGCACTTTCTGTACAGTACAGATATAATACAAACAGGGACAAAAGTAAGAAATGAAAACAATGAAAGCTATATAAAAAGTAAAAAAAAAAATGCATTTGAAACTTGCTGCCCAACTAAGCTGTTTAAGAAAAGCAGATCATATCCCTCAGGGTAAGTCATCCATGGAAAATGTACTTTTGATGACGTAAATGTTGATTTCTTGCAATCTAAGAGGCATTTTAGCTCACTCACATATTCATGAACATTATTGCCTTTCCAGTAAATTCAGTTCCATTCCTTTGCCCAAAGATCATACTGTGGATCCATCTCTGCTCTAAGCTTTTCTCGCAGATGAGTGTACAGTATAATACCGAGAATGAACAATCAAAAGCTACAATAATACTGTACCTTAAGCTACCACTCCCTCAAAGCTAAATATAAAAAAAGACCCATTATGTATGCACTGGCTATCCGGCAGCTTCGATATTAGTACATTTCTAAAGAGAAGGGAAGAATAGCAAAGCTGACAATAAAAGCAAAAAAAAGGAAAATAATCCTGTTTATATTTTAAAGAATATATGAAAAACACATGTTTAACTGTAATACAAATAATTTTATATAACGATAGTTAATGCTGCATGAAGCATATGTTAAAATAAATGATAGAAGGCAGTTCCCACATTGAACATATGGGTTTACTGTATCACAACTAGTTAATATATAGAACTATATCACTTAACAAAATAAGAATTATAGTTTACTTACCAACTGACCAGTTCTAGCTATTTGTGACAGTAACCAATCAATCAACACTTCAGTGCATATTATGCACTAAAAGTGTCAATTATATTTCCCCTCGAGCTCCACTTCAAAATCTAATGAAGTGTTCCTTATCTGTTCATAAATGCAAATAATCCTCAATTGAAATTTACAGTGTATAGTGTAAAAGAAATCCCATAGTTGAAGTGCAGATAAATAATTATGTGACTGCACTAATAGTAAAAAACTATAAGCCATACCTTATCCACAACTGGCATGATCTAAAAAAAACTAATACATTTACTCTCACGCTTGCGATTGGATGTTCAGGCTGAGACATTCAATTTATGTGGAACAGTTAGCAAAAATAATTACGATGATAAACCAGAAATTATCCAACACATTTGTACGGATAAGAAACTAAATTCTTAGCAGTGTAACACACTTCATGGCCTTCTAGGGATAAAACCACAAACTCAACTCAAATGTGCCAACGTTGGCCATTTTCCCTCTCCCCTTTAAAAAAGGGCTCATTTGTAGAAAATGGGGCATCAGGCTGCTAGTAGAAGATGGGTGTGGATCGGTCATCAGTGAAGGTGGGCCGGAGGTAGACCTCCAGGGAACGATCACTGTGGGGAGAGGAGGGGTGAGACAAGGAACAGTGACAGTTAGGATGAAGACACGACAGAACTTACAGAGATATATGGTCAGCTAACCACACCCACAGAAAACTGCCTTCCCATAGATTTGTTTCTTACAATGAGTTGAACAAACAGTAACAGTATACTGTGAGTTTGTAAGCAAGCATGTGATGATAAAACAAAAAAATGAGGGGGGAAAAAAGAACAAAAAGGTTTGCTATAGGCATGCACGCAGGGTTAGTTTTCTGTTTATGATATTGTGACAGACATGATAATAATAATAATAATAATAATAAGTGAATTCCTTTACAACCCAAACCCCTACTGGACTGACAGAATATTTGCTGCCACATCCTTGGAGGTCAAAGGACAGTAAGACCAGTGATTCCCAGCAACCTACTGAAGCCAGACAGCCAATGACAGCAGCAAGAGAATCAGGCAGTAATAGAGAGAAGATAAAAGGAGAAAAGGGATTGGCTGAAAGGCGATGGAGGCTGGTGACTTACGGAGGTCCTGTTCCCTCAGAATCGGGACAATTCTGGACCCAAACTGGAAGGTAAAGAGAACCTTTGGGTTTGAATGGCTCAGATCATGCATGGGTCACATTTTTTTAACGACACTGCTGGTTAGTCAGATGCAATATGGACACAAGTGTAACTGTTAAATGTGATTAAAATAAGGGATGCAAAACAGAAGTATCTACTTCATGCGAAACATGCCACATACTAGATGTTCATATGCTAAATTCTGTCAGGAAAAGTACCCGCAGCTCGCCTTGGTGTGGACATTTGACTACCAATGCAATCAACAGGCTGCTGCTCTGAATATGGGTCTGCAAAAATATGTGCATCATCACATCTATAAACCTAAAAGAAAATACTAAAAATTGGGGGGAAAGGGAGGCAGGCAGAGTTCACATACTCACAATTTGTACACAACACCACACACACACACACTGACAGTCTTTTGATTCAGTTTTTACAGTGACACAGAGAGCACTACAGAGGCTATAGGTGTTATGTGGGGAGGGATTAGGATGAAACTGCATGCTTGGAACACAGCTGTGGCCTGAAATGATTTACAGAAAATGTCGCAGGTTTGAAAGAAAAAAAAAAAATTAAAACATTTAACATTTGACTTTGAAACATGTAAAAAAAAAAAATTACAAAACTGAGAATGTAATTGTCACTGACAGAACAGATTTCTCGTCAGACCAGATTGTTTATTAATATATAGAGATATGTTTTATTTAGAATACCTTTGTAAAAAGTCACCATACATTCAAGGTCAATTTCAGTATCACATTTTCTGGTTTTCCTCCACAGCATGCATAAGATAAACACTTCAACTAATCAGTAGTTTCTCATTGTTTCTCGAAATATTATTTTTTTTTACAAGGACAATACTTTTTAAAAGAAAAGACCAAAAACTACATAGCCACTCAGGGAATACAATCATAAATAACACTGAGAGCTGCAAAAGCCGTGGTTGTCATTTAACCTAAAAACTAATTCACAGCTGTTATGGAGGATACTCAACAGAAGATAAAAGACCTTCCAAACTCACTGTAGCTCCAAAAGAAATACCAGCGAGGCATTTTTTTAACAAGTTTCTGTGGGGCTAATGGTCGTCATTTAAAAAATCTTTTGATATGAACACATGTTTTTTGCAATGATCATATTTCCGTGCAATTATGTGGACTGAAGGAAATAATATATATATATATTATTATTATATATCTATATACTGTATATTGTCGAAGCTCAGTTTGAAAATGTGTCTCATTGCAGATAAAGTATTTGTTTAATAGGAAAAAAAAGAAGCGACGTAAGGCAAATATGACACACGCTCTCTGGACAGAAAATTAGCACTGACACAAGGAAGCACAGCGCCACCTGCGGGATCTCTCACAACAGAAATATTCTGCTGCACAGCCTTACTTTGTAAAAAGCTATTTTTTGAGCAAGTGTTGCCGGGTGGGAACTCCATTATACTGGGCCCACGTGTGCTTAGAAAAGGCCATTCAGCCAGTGGCTTTAGTACAACGACATTGAAGTCTTGGCACTTGTACAGTACATGAACATGTCCTTTAGTTTGACAAAATGACACAACCATGTACATGCATGAAAGACAAGCAGTAGCAAAGGCAGTCTCTTGAGAGATCAGTCCGTGATGGTGGACTGTGATCAGAGATAGAGTATTCAGAGTCCATATCGCTGCATGCCGAGCAGGCGGGCCCCGCTCGGGCTCTCTCGCTCAACGCAATCCTCCACCCACCAACCGCTACTGTCCACACCAACACCACCAGCAGCAGCACCCAGGACGGACGGAAGGAAGAAAGGAGGGACCCGAGGAGGAAGAGAGGACAGAAAGGAGGGATGAAACTGGCCTCTTCCACTTGGAGAAGGGGCGTGTGTGGAGGTAGAGGTGGAGACAAGTGGACAGGAGGGAGGCTAAGAGGAGGGAAAGATGGGGAGGAAGAGGCCCCTGTGCTATCCGGAGCTGTCTGTGTCTGTCTGTATGTCTGTTCTCACACAGTCGAAATCAATTTGCCATCAGGACTGTCACTGTGGAACAAAGAGAGAAGGAAGCTTGCCAGGTCGGACACACTCAGAGGGAAATGGAGAAAGACAAGACAGGTACAAGGAGGCAGGGTAGAGTTTTGGTGTAGGTGGGGTTTGGAAATCTACTTTGCCCCACCTACACCTACAACTCCAAACACCCCTACCATGATCAGGAAGATTAACTTCCAATTTCCTCATCAACAATTTTGAATCCAGATATGTTACGCTGGTTTGATATTACTGCCCATTTCATGCAGTTTAGTGAATGTTTGTCACTGAAAAGTACTACTGTGTGTTGATGAGAAAATCAAGTCATCTCCTTAGCTGAAGGGACATAGTGTTATATTAGTCTGGTGGGGTGAATACACCCTGCAGCACAGTGATGTCTCACAATACTGATACAGAAAAAAACACATTCAGAGCAGACAAGAGTATGTATAACAGCTTGACACTGGGGCCGAAAAGCCCCAGGCTGACAAGCAGTGATGGCTGAGATGAGATCAGCATGAAGTCTACTGTCACAACATGTACTCCAACAAACACCAATATGATTGTACATTGGCGATTTCTTTCTTTATCACACACACACACACACACACACACACACACACACACACACACACACACACACACACACACACACACACACACACACACACACACACAAAGATGTACTCCCTGATTGGACAGAAACAAAAAAGTCACAACTCTGGTGAGTCAGCAAGGATTCGATAGGATAACTGTGAAAATATACTGAGCCACGAGTAAACTAAGACACTGGTTCCCCTAGAGTGCAATTATTGCTTTAAAGAGCTATTTAAAATATAAGTCAAGTGAATATAAGAAAGGAGGAAACGAAAAAGAAGACAGATAGATCCCATGAGGTGGGGATGTTAACACTACACCAAAATCCAGATCCCAACTATATTCCCCATTAGCTTTGAAATTCTTAGTCAACAAATTAAATATACAATCTAAAAAAAAAAGGAATAGCGAACAATTTTGATAACAATTCTACTAATTTCTGTCTCTGTCCAATCATTTGTCTCTTGTTCTGGATCTGTATTCAGGTTTTGGACTGTTGGTCAGACAAAACAGGTAATCTAAAGATGGCTCCAAGAAATGTTGATTTACAGAAATACTGAAAAAAAATAAAATCGAATAATTGTAATGTACACTAATGTGGTTGATTGTTTATGTAGCATTTCATTTGATCTGGCTACAGTATGTTAAGCAGTTGCCTTGCTGTCTCTCGAGTGTTCCAGCATGCAGTTACTCAGGTGAAATGTTATTTATTTAAGGGTCTGCTTCTCTTCTTCTGATAGTCACTTCTTCCAAAGCTATCCAAATGAAAGAATTCAGATGCTAGCAGCAGTCATATTAGTCATTACTAAGACGGCAAGGTAGAAACAGCACTTACCTTGTGGCAAAGCGGCCGTCATAATCCTCTATGGCAGGCTGAAAAGATAAGAGTAAAATGTTTTACTTTGTGTGCTTGTTGGCCTAAAATTAAAAAAACTGCCATACTTGCATTCAAACACTAGGTGGCAGCAGAAACTGAGCAAAAGTCCCCCTAACAGTTACTGCAGGATTACTCATATCCAATTATGCAACACAAGGCTTAACCAGATGGGGGCTACAAATTAAGTGAGCAAGAGTAACAAGTGTTGTGTGTAGTTCATGGATACTACACATTCCGTTAAATTGTTCCTACCTGTGTGCCGAAGGCTGCCATGCTGTAGGGGCGCGGGCGGGTCTGAGCGAGGCTCTGTGCAAGCAGTCGGGCAGTCAGGCCATAGTCAGGTGTGGGCAGCGATGCATCACTCTCCAACAAGTTCCCTGTGCTGCTACTTTTCCCATGGTGCAAGCTGGTTAGGCAGGCAAACAAAAAAGGCCTCAGACGAGGTCTCCTTCTGGTTCATTAAATTGACACACAGGTAATGATGGAAAAATGCTACATACTTCACTTTGAGCTTCTCACTGTCACTTTCAGGCAGCACACGTGTGTAGGAGAATGGAAACCAGCCACGCCTAAACAAAGGGAGCACCTTGTTAAGCTCCTCATTCACTGGATCTACATGTGGAACAAATATGTAAGCAATGTCACAGTATGGACACAGCAGGCAATGAACAATCCTTCACTTACATCTTGTTCTTCTCATTCTCTCCATAGTGCCAGCCATCGCGGGCCTCAGGCACTAGCAGGGTGATTACGTCTCCCTCAGAGAAACTGAGCAGGGTGCCGTTGTCACCTGCAGCGTGGGAGAAGATGGCCTGGACACGGGAACGCCCGTTCTTTTCCAGGCCTGCTGCCATGGAACTGGACCTGGGCAGAGTCCGTGTCTCTCCTTCAGTGTTTGCAGACAGAGACAGTAGTCAGTGACATGAAATCTATTAAGAGTTCAGAGTACCAGATGCTCTGGATAACTGGAGTCCGCAGTTATAACTAAAGATAAGATTGATGATATGTATTTTGTAGGCACTGACAGCAACCGGGCATTTGTTCTAAATTTAGCATTTTCTCATTGTGCTTCTGAATTGCATTTGTTAACATCAATCCGAGTCAGGGATAATCACGTAAACAAGACTAAATGATTGGTTGACTGTCTCATGCCAACATTTCTTGTAAAGGCGGCTTGAGTCTGTTGCTACCCTTCTCCTCCTTTGTGACACTTAGAGCAGCAGCTATCAACTCCATCACTGTTCTTTAGCATAGACATTAGTAATGTTTAGTCATAAAGTCGTATACCTAAGTATTTACGTGATATTAAAATGTTCCTCACTGTATCTTTAAGCCAGGAATAGGTTTGAGCCACAATCAAATATTCCACTTGTGATTTTCTTACTGCAAGCACTACTGTTTTTAATAAAGGTGTAGCAGTGTGCAGATATCTTACCCACGGGGTTCTTATTCTTGGCGGGGGCTGGCCTACGGACAGGAAGGGTGTTGGAGTAGACATCGCTGACCTGTCTCTGGGGCTGGGCCTGGGCCTGGCCCGGTGGCTGGGTCTGGGGGGATGCCGGCCTGACTTGGGACACGGATATAGTCCCTCCGTCAGTCCAATATTCCTCCCCATGGGCTCCTGTTGTCCCATTTACCATGGACATACCATCAGGGCCAATCAGCCTCTGGAAAAAACAAGCATATACAGAAAATGAATAATAAACTGTCTAAATGGCATAACGTTGAAACTTGACCTGAAGTCTAGGGAGTGTTCATCCAAGTGTGTCAGCTGATTGCTGCCCAGCATGACATGTAGACTAAACAGTGACTGTTTGACTTCCAGAACTGTAATTCAGTTCTCTCGATGAAGATAAGGACAGTTTCTTTTTAAGTTTAGTGTTTGCAGTTATACACACAATAAAAATGGACAGACACGAAATGTAAACAATAAACACATGATAATGATAATGATGATAATGAACACAGGAGAAATCAAACCTTAATAATATAAGTATACATAAAAACATATTTTTATTACCCACGGATTTTCTTAACTCACCGCTTGGTGACCCAGGCCACCACTCATAAAAACAGCCAGCTCTGGGGGCACAGGAAGAGGCGTGGCCCCGGGGATAGGGTCTGAGATGACCAAGTTGGATTTGGAAGTATGGAGGGGGCTTGCTCCCCCAAGGCCTGCAGAGCCCATCTGCTGGGCCAGGAGCATGGCCCTCTCTGGCAGCTTGTTGGGGTCTGAGCAGGCCTGTTGCCACACTGGGATCTTCTGGGTCAGGAGGTCTTTACCCTTGAAGTAGGAAGAAAAGGTTGAAGAAACACACACAAAAAGTGATACATTTATCTATGTAATGTCTCGTCTTTTATTTGGACCCGGAGTCTGTAATAATGTTTTGATTGATTGATGTTGCTGCATTGTGACCAGCGAGTTATTTTTTCTTTGTTGCATCTCCTTTTCTCCAAACAAAAAAAACCATTCAGTTCTCAACAGTTTTTTCCTCAAACTGTATCCTTGACCAATGCCCTTTGCAAAGCTATGATAATGTGCTGCGTGGGTGAGGCAGTGGGACAGACGAACATACAACTCAGCTGCCCACTGCAGCTTCTCACAGCCTGTGGACACGGCTGTTCTTTCCACCATCATAGAAGTAATGGATGATCAGCAATCAACACATTTGTGTCTTTAACGTATAGTTTCATGCACACACAAAACATTGTCCCTTTGTATGTGCTAATTTCAAGCTCTCATATCTTTCTCCCTCTCAAACACAAACACGATCTTACGCTGACAAACACACACTGGAGAGGGTTCTTCAGTTTGCTGAAGGTGAACTCTTCCTACGCACACCCCCATCCTGATTAATGACTACACTCCATCTCACACACACACACACACACACACACACACACACACACACACACACACACACACACACACACACACACACACACACACACACACACACACACACACACACACACACTCCCAGGAGACTGATATACTTCATTACCCAAGAATATCAAATTCTTGGCAAATGGACAGTCATACATTTGTAGCACACACAGACAAAAACAAGCATTCAAACAAAACCCTTGCTAATAATGCTCCATTACATTTGATGGTATGACAGAGTGGAATATATTCAGATTTAACGGTTATTTGCTTTAAATGTCAGCAGCAATGTGGAAATATCAAGGAGGTATAACAACATTCAATAGTGATTGTTGTAAACAAAATGGGTGAGAAACAGTTTGTTTTTCTTTGATTTCAACCCATCTTTCTCTACATTCATCATTTCGATGCCTTTCGATGATCTGAACATGTGAGGCAGTTCTCTCCACAAAAAGGTGACCAGACACACGAAGGGGCAGTGATGGATTACAGCTTCAGATGTGCCAGTCAGCAGGGAATTGTCTACAGTATTAATACATTTTTAAAATGAAGAGGCCCCTGTGAGCTGTGGAAATAATGTGACTTTGAATTATACATGTCTCCTATTATGTTCCTTTTGCTGAACAATGGTCCACATGTTGACAGTTAGGGGTAAGTAGGCTAGAAATGACACAACAATAGTGTACAATTCTATAATTTGACCAACAAGCTCTGCACATGTTGCTTTTGTACAAAAAGGACAGAAAATGTGTTCCTGATTAATTGAGAGAACAAAAGTAATGACAACCATGTTGAACTCAATGCTACGCACATTCAGAAAACCCATGCAGATAGACAACAACAGAAAATGAAAACAGATCTTTACCGACATTATGACAAATGCACAGGACTTTAAAATAGCAGTGCTAAATAGATGAACACACTGCACAATGCTCAGAAATCAACAGAAACTGTTTCCAGGGGCAACTAAAAAGTGATGCACATGGCTACGACAGGCTTGTTGTTGCCATGGTTTCCGGTTGATTAAATTATTGAAGTGGATTATCTGTCAGAGTTGTTGGAAATGTTAAAGACGATTATTATTCTAAGCATGATCACATGATTCAGATTTCATAATATGGCCAAAGGAAGATATCTGCAATGATTTCTGAATCATGCAATCAAACTGATAATAATAATACGCATGTATGTACTCTTCTAAGACGACCTACAGGTAGCAGGCTTCATCAAGATCAAACGCTACAGCTGTGTGCATCACTTTTTTATATTCCCCCGGAAACAGTTGTGTGTGTTTCCCTATTGCAGAGCTTTCTTTAAAGGATGTGTGGTGCATGGCTGTCGAATTGGTGAAGATGTTTACTAGTGTCATCTCTATTTGCATGTGTTTTCTCAATACGCTTGGTTTGTTAAGCACTCTGGGCCACTGTTAGTCACTGCAAAACACACAAACAGATTTTCGAAGATTTAACAAATAATTGAAGGAAACACAAATTCTTGCTGTATTTCAGATCATCTCTGTGCACAGCTTTATGAAAGAACCCCCTGACTAATATCAGTTTAATGTTAGGAGCAATTCGAACCATATACAGTAGGCACACTATTATCTGTTAAGTTCAGAAAGGTTTGCTCATTTCAAAAGAGATATTTTGTTATTTGCCTTTTCATCTTTTCCTCTTCCCATTGATTATAAGCGGGCAGGGCTAGGGCAAATCTTGAAAACAATGAGAAGCACCGAGACAGAGCTACATTATGACCCAATAAATAGCAGGTGAAGGGTGAGTAGGTGTAGATGAGAAAGTGTCTTAATCAAAATATGATGGCAGTTGGTGTTGTTTGCTTGTTTTCATCACTGTCAACACAATGTAATCAAAACCCACCCACACTGTCCTGATGAAGCATATAAGCTCAATAAAGTTTTTAATAAATAATCCATACACATTCTTTTCAGTATTTCTTTTGCTTATTAAGTCAGTAATCATTTGTTTTCAGAGACTTTAAAGCAGCAGTATTGACTTGAAAGGCCATTTTTGGAAAATACGTTCATCTATTCTCCTGATATATCATTCACGTCTCTTCTTATCATTTCCTTATGGTAAAACAATATTCTTGGTGGTCATGTGACACTCACCTTGCCATGGTAGGCGCTGCTGTTCTTGGCCACGGCACACTGGCGGTCAACCAGGAAGCAGTACCTGCGGCGCTCCTCAGACAAGGCTGTCTTGTATCCCTCAGCGATGAAGGTGTCTAGCTCCGTCTGCTTACTGCTGATGGTCTCCACAAACTGGGAAAAAACACACAATGACGCATGAACTTTAGATACAATATCTACGGACTAGTGCAATAATAATCACAACATACTGGTGTTTGTATCAAAAGATCGACAAATACTTTATGGTTACTGGTACGTCGAAAGTCATCCACAGCTTAATGCCATACAGATTGAGAAGGTAAGGCTGATGGACAGGAGGTCTGACGAGAAAATGGCCCCATCTCATAATATTCATAACTTTAAAAAAAAGACCCTGCTTAACGTACAGACAATTTAACACATTCACACTAAGGAGCTGCTCAGTCCAGCTCTGTGCTGTACTGCCAATCACTGCACATCTCCGATGGAGCAATTAGGGTTTAAGTGCACCCTGGTGCTACAGGTTGTGTGAGGAGAAAAGTGTTATTCAGCAACTTTCTCAGGCTTGGTTTTTCCTCCAGAGTGCTAGTGAGACAAGGCAATTATGAATGGCACCCAAAATCCACAAATCCTCTTTACATACGTGTCGGACAATAACAACATGATAGGTGTGTTTACGTATAGTATAAGAGTGAGAGACAGAGACAGAAAGGGAAGGAGATCCAGCGCTGACAGTTTATCTTAGCCTGAGTCTCTATAGTCTATAGGGAAATGTCTCAGAGAGTTCACTGACCACACTCTCACAAAATGGTAGTTGACAGTGGTGAGGAGCTGTAGGGAGTCTTAATTCGAATAGGGAGTGACATTTAGGTGTTTTGTCAACGTGTAACACATGCCATGGTACCATGTTTGCAAAACAGCAGAGTTTTCATGTTGATTGATGAACGTTTTAGAAAGTAGGTTAACTGCGTTCATTTTCATTGTTTAATAATGTATCATCTGCCGATAAAAAATAGCGTAAAGACAAGATTTGACCTAGAATAACTCTTTCATTCAGGAATGGGGTTTCAAGTTTATTATGTCTATTTATATATTTATTTATTATGTATGTATTTAATATCATATCATCCAAAATCTGATTTGTTGTGGACTCCAGTCCCTTCCTTATTCGGGAAATGGAAAAGACAAACAGCCTAAACTATATAAATGTTACATTTTTTATTTCAGTCTGTGCCGTTGGAGAGAATATTTGTCCTAATTCCTCAGGTTTGGTTTTCTTAAAGTACCAAAGTACATTTTAGAACACTTTTTATTAGATTCCTCAAAGGTGAAAGGTGAAAATGCTAATGTAATGTGTTAAGTCTGAGTGCTGTGGTGCCACCACACATGCCCATGCACATGCTGCATCCCATTTAGTAGCCATCAAAGACATACTTCCCCACTGCCAACATCCACAAGATTAGTTCATTGAGATTTCAAGTCTGGAGGAATATTTTGGTGACTAAAGGATATTTTAAAGAAAGAATACATACAGCTACACCATTAGCAAATCCAAAAAGCGAAGTTGTCAAATCCAGCAAGACAGGGATGAAAGGATGATGAACGTATTTTTCTCCTGAGAGCAGCCTGACCTTATTCTGTTCTTTCTGTGCACCTTAAACTCAAATTAAGTGCTTTGAAACTGGTTCAGTGAGTTACCTCAGTACTGGCACAGCGTTCAGTTAAAGGGCTGACTGCACCTCAACAAGGTAAAGGGCCCGCTCCTCTTGTCAAATCCATATGGCCCAATTTCCCATCCATTCAAAAGGTCACCAGAGTAACCCAAGACAATGAGCGTGCAGTGGGAAAAGCCAAAGCAGACACCATCCCCATTATATCTGAGCGACCTCAGGTTACATCATAGCTGGTATGACTTGCTCTGCAAAGGTTATGAATATAAAGAAAAAAAACTTGCAACACATCCATGCAGTTCTCACTTTCAGACTTTCAGCAGAGCCGCCTCCCTGTGTATCCCCTTACACTGACATAATGAGGACAGGAGAAACCCTGACACAAATATGACATTTTTGCACTGAACACTAATATAGCTTCTAGTAATTACAAGTACTGGGAAAGGGAATTCACACCCTTCAACAAAGTGAAGCTTGTTATGAGCTGCTTAGGTCTGCTCTTCTGTTCCTTCATCATCAGCACTCTTTGGAAATCAAAATGATTGCATTGTATCGCTCCAGGGTACAAAACAAAAAGGCACCTTCAGTACCTGCTTGAATCTGCTGTGTATGTTAGTCAGTGCTAATCTACTGCACTGTCTTGCAACACCTTTTTCTGCTTTTGTATGAATCCAGGTTGGAATCGCTTTTCAATTTTATGACACCAAGCGGGATAAACTTAAACTTAATCAAACATCTCCAGATATTAAATTCTGAATCCTGACCTCTGTTCCTCTATCTCCGTCTGAGCTCTTATTCACAGCCTGGGCAGTGTAAAGGACTTTATCTAGATGAAAGCCCTTTCTACTAGTACCTTGGTCCACTCCATTGAACTACATAATGAGCTGATTAGCATTTTGGCAGGGTCTGTACCCATTGATGAGATGGCACAGTGAAAGAGCCTGTAGGCAAAGGGAGGACAAGCAGGGGAGGATAGAGAGACAAAGAGACGGACAGAGAAGTGGGAGAGCAACAGTGAGCAGTGGGAGAGAGAGAGAGGAAGGTAGCGAGCGATCAATGAAATGCGGCCGCCATCTGTGACCGCTGCCGGGGTGCGCTCAGACACACTTTACTTTTTAATGAAAAGAGAGGAGATAAAAAAGAAACTTGGTGCTGCTCTCATCTGCTAGAATAACACAGATGTGGTGGAGGAGGAGGAGGAGGAGGAGGAGGAATAGTTGATTTTGCCTTAGCAACTTTACTTTATCAACTACCTTGTGCTGCCAGAACCCATCTCTGTAAATACTCCTGGGTTGCGTTCCGATAATCCAAAAATCAGCTCCTAAATTCTAACCCTATCTCCTATTCCTCGACCTCTGAGTGAAACGTCACGGGGTTAAGGGATAGTGGATAGGAGAATTCAAAAGGACTTAACACCTATCACTGTGTATATCACCATTCAAACATCTTTTAAAAGTTGAACAAACTCCACACAGCTCAGTGAAATGTTGACTTTATTTGATCATTTCAGTAAAAACTAACGTTCATATTTCTCTTTTTGATTATAATACTGATGAACGTTCAAAACAAAGCACTTTGGCAACTTACCACATACGTTTTAAAATGCTTAATAAGCACCGTAACTTTCATGATATCATTTCTCCGTCATAATCGTTTGTTTCCGTGAACGGCCGACTGTTGTGTGACGCAAATGCTGCGGCTGTAAGGCATTGTGGGGCAGCATTTTCTCCTCTCCTTTCGGTAAGGGAGGTCCAGTGGTTCCTAAGCTAAAGGAGGTTATAAAGGAAGTTTGAAACCTCCTTTCCTTTCATTTGGAGAATTGCAATGGCACTTAACATGGCTGCCACTGACGTACTTCCGGGTCATTTCACTTGGTTAGGAAGGTTCCTAAGCTAAAGGGACTATTGGAACACAACCCTGGACCACATTGGTGTAGTCGGTCACTTTCTAAGTCTCTCCAGATGGATGTCATTGTTAAACACAGATTCTTGAGGGAGTGCTCTCTTCCTCTCCGTGTGTTGCTCTCCCCGGGGGACTGATACAGGACTTGACTTTTTACTCACACGCCCACAGCTGTGATATGATCAGTGAAAGGGAGCAGGCTGAAAATGAGAAAAGGAGATTGATTTTCCTTTCTCTGCTAACTGACTGTGTTATGAGTCCTGTGCCTGATGCGCTCCCCCCTCTGAGCAGATGGGCCCAATTGATCAGTCATACAGACCCAGTAAGAGTCGCAATGTCCAATATGCACATGGTGGAATTGCTATAGTGACTTCCACATTTTATGTGGAACAGTTTTACCTGTGGATAAAACCGCTATCTCTAACGGCCCGTCCACACATAGGCGTGCGTTGACGCTTCACCATTCACTTTGAATGGGGTGACGTCACTTTTCGCCGAACTGCATTGTGGGAAGCGACGAGGAGCTTTGCTGACGTGGCTCGCTGCAAAAGTTGAGCAATGTTCAACTTTTGAAGCCTCGGCAGAAGCGTCAGCCAATCGAATCATATGCCAGTACCAGATCTGGCCAATCAAACCGTTGCTTGTGTGTCAGGGGCGGGAGATTCATGTGATTGGTTGTTAGTCGCGTTTCAGACACGCCCGCTGGCAAGCTTCAACGCACGCCGCTGTGTGGATGGGCCGTAATGGCCTTTCAAGACAAACTTGCATCACTACTCATGAGCCTATAAAAAAATGTAAAATTATCACTAGGTCCAAAACATTGCTTCTCATCTATGGGCCACTAATATGGATGTATACCTTAATGGTTTGCAATAAAGTTAATCCTGCATTCCTGTTTCTGTTCATTACACTTTGCTACACCCTTCTTTACAGATGTCTAATCATCAAACACAAGAGGCATTCAGGAACATGCAACAACTTGCCATTCCTGACTGAGTTCACTAAGCCAGTAAGTCTCTAACAGCCCTCCCATCCCAAGCCCTGCCTCCTGCAAAACTGGACTACTGCACACACTTCTTTGACGCCTTAAGATGACACTTCATGCAACATCTCCACATGGCATGATGGCATCCCTAACACAGTGGAACAAACTCAATGTGACACAGCTGTCAGATCAACCATCACTGTCATACCAACCCAGACAGGCAAGGCTAGAGGTGTGTGTGTGTGTGTGTGTGTGTGTGTGTGTGTGTGTGTGTGTGTGTGTGTGGGATTGTAAAAACTCACAGAACTCTACAAAACATAGCATCCCTAAGTGAAGGTAAAAAATGTGTTTCTTGTGCAGTTATTGATCGGATTCTGTCATGGGCAGCCACACCTAACAATGAGAGCAACAGCAGCTGAGTTATTACCCTGCAAGCCTTGACCCGTTTGCTTTTTGTTCTCGCCCCTCCAGGTTGTCAGACTTTCTGATTTGAAGGAACTCATTGTGAAGGAACAGCCGTCACACTATTCTCCTGAGTCATTGTATTCTCATTCTGACAGTGACACTGGCGAAAGGACTGAGACAATGGAGTACATGACTTGTAAACATTAGCAACATTTACCGCAGGGAAAGCAAACAGTAAGGTTTAATACACACCGAGATGCTATTTGTGTGTCTATGTGGAGAAATACAACCGTCAGTACTTCCCCTGTCAAGTAGGCGGTCGAGAGATGAAAACCTAATAAACTAAAACTAATTAAGTTATGTCCAACACCGAGGGTTCATTGCAACTCATCAAAATTCATTTCGACTGAGCTGCTCTGTAGGGAGGTAGCTTTGCTATGGAAATAATCACAGGAATGATGATGCCCAAAGCACATACTGCTATCCCTGGTTCCCTCAGAGAATCATGCCACTGCTCCGGTTTGACATAAAACCATTTTGACAAGTTGTGAATGTTTGCCAACTGAATCTGTAGCGATACATATTTGATACAAAAGTTTGAACAATGTATCCATATGCAGTGAAGCAGTTACATAAACTCACTCCAAACACCGAACCACCTTTACCAAAATGTTATATATTTACATGGTTTTTGTTAATAAAAACACACTTAAACTCCTAAACAGATTTATCAATTTCTACAGCAGATTCCAAAGGCATAATATATTTCACATGACTCTCAGTGTCTGTCAACCTTATTAAAAACCAGAAGTTCTGCCCTAACAAACAGACATTTAAAAATATAAAAACAGAACAGAAGGATTCTCAATGATACTAAACACACATACTGTATGATTCTTATATAAAGTCTAAGAAAATTGTGATATTGTTAATAGTGTTAGCGTATAAGTAATGTACACTTTCTGTACATGACAGAAACTGTACTATTGACTGAGGTAAATGCATATCAAATACTATACTAATACTTTTTATTATCATCTTAAATCTCTCTTTAATATTTTTTCTACGTGGCGTATGTGTGAAAGATTGGCACGGCCACACAATTTATAATCAAACCTCCTCTATTTGCCTTCCCACTCAGGGCAACTCGTCACCACTGCCTCCACCCCCAGCCTTGCTGTTTTTCAAATTCACTTTACTTTATGTAGAGAAAAGTCATTTCTTTGCACCAAGACTCATACATATCTAATCCAACATTCACCCACATGCAAGCATTCTCTCCTTTTATCTTCTTTAACAATAGCCCTTCACATTGGAAAACATTTTTAACAGTTCAATTTGAGACATCTTCTTCCTAATTGTTTAATTCTGAGAATAAATAGCTTTTTTGTGGAAATCCCCCAGCAAGACGCTCACCTGCATCTCCTTCTCTCCGTACTTGGAGGGGTTCTTGCTGCCCTGGCTCTTCCTGCGCAGCTTCTTCAATTCAGCCTGGCACTTCTCCAGACTTTCCCCTTTGTTCTTGTGTTCCAACTGGTATTTCTTCAGGGCAGCCTACATGGGGCAACAGGCAGAGCACAAACACACATTTAGGACAACACATTAAAAAGCCTGAGTGGCAGGTGGTGGGATATAATTGAGAAAAATATGCAGCATTTCTGCCAACCTATTTCTGAAGGCTTTTATAGATTCAATTAATTTCACTACAGTATGAAACAACATCTCACAGGGTCTTGAAACCAGCTGTATATACTTCATTTACAGTTGTTAAATTATTTATGTGTGGAATTGTTTTGAAGGCTCCTTCTTGGTGTGTTCAAGAAGGCTCCGTCATCATAAAGCAATCTTTTTAATCAAAGAAACACATTTCACAAGATTCTTTACAAGATGTTTTGTTTTTTTTGCTTGGTTTTGCAACAACTCAGCTCCTGATGACGTCTTTTAAAAACATCCACTGTTAGTTTCTTCCCATCCCAAAAAACAGCCTGCAAAGCTAAATGCCAAATGTGTGATTTGCAGAACAGGCAAAAACAACTGGCCTAATCCTTTTACAGCCTGAGTTTTTTATTTATTTAATTCATTTAATTTGCTTATTTAATTATTTATTTATGGAGAATAACAACTTTGTTTCTGGGCTGAACCAGCTCTGTTGCCATGGCAACAGTGTCTGTTGCGACAAAGCTTGTGTGGTTTCTGCACGAGGCAGAATTGGCTTAGGAGAGCTCCTGCATGAGGGTTCAACAACCACATTTGCATACTGCAAGGCACCAAGGATTTAGGTGTGCTCGAGGTGTTGTTTGGACCAATAGAAAGTCCGAAAAATAAGTGGTTATTGTCACTGAAAGACCATCATGTATGACACCTGATATTAGATCTGTACCTCTGAGCCTGACTGAAAATCTCTAGTGACCTAATAGCTATTGATTTAAATAAATGTTGGAATGTCCATTCTCCAGGTCAGGAGCTTCTATTGATTGTCTAAATGCTCACATTGTTCCTCACAAAATAGGCCAAACTATGCTTTTGCACTGGTGCTCTCTTTGTAAACAAAAATAATTCACACATCACTTTCCCAATAATCCATGCTTTCCTTCCCTGGCAGGGGTAAAGCAATAAACCAATACGTCTGGCTCTGCTATTCAGCTGAAGCTGACTTCCCCCCCCCCAGTGGAAAACCCCCAGCACATACAGTAAAGTTAGTAATGGTAACGTGAAACACAATTCCACATATTGAAAACGTTGCTTTTAGTTTGCAGGGTGAAATAAGGATAACACGATAATATCCCTATAGTGCCGGTCTCATTGAGCGAGAGTGTTCCTCCTAATTAACTAATCAAAAGCTTGTTGACTTTTGTTTACAGCGGCGGTAACCCCAACTCTCAATCACCGGCTACCTCTGCAGACAGATAATTAGTGTGATTAAATCTGATTAGAAACAGAGTGGACAGTAGATACACGTTGGCATCTCTCTTTTCCTGTTCGGTTTATCTGAAAGAAATGCTTCTATTCATCTCTGAATTTTAGGTTAACGCCAACATTCTGACCTCAGTGTTGTAAAAATCTCACGTAAGCCATTATGTGAGACAAGAAAAAGATAGACCGAGACAGAAGGAGAACAAAGAGCGAAGCATCGCTGGGAACAGCACACACTTCAGTCTTTGCTTTCAGTCTTTCTGAAGTCAAATTTTCTGATGATTAATTCACAAAGTCTGAAGTAAAATGACTGCTATTATCACTGCGGTAGATCTGTATGAAATTCATTAAAAGTAATGGATGTTAAAACCTCAAGGATATGCAGCCATAGCAATGTCTAAATTGTTGTATGTATCTAGACTAATGTAATATAATTATGATATGTATATCGTTTTTGACAGCTAACATAATGGATTATTCCAGTGTTTTTTATCTGAGCCTCTCATTACAACATCTGATGTTACTGATAAGTCTCCCTGTTAGGTCAAAAGGCCAGAACCTAGAAACTATCTTCTTTTCTCAGTTGCCAATCGCAATATTGTATTACTGTAGGTGAGTTTGAGTGCGTTTATGGGAGTAATCTGCAGCGGCTCATAACGTGTTCCTTCTAACAGCATAACATAATAATGGCAATGTATCCCATCCCCCAAAACAACGTGCAGCTCTACACTCAGGCTGCAACCCACTCATTCTAAAGATATCACATGTAGACCAGCTCCACAGTGTGCACACACAAGCACACACACACACACATGCGCGCACACACATGCATGCGCACACACACACACATCCATGCGCACACACACACTCCAGGAGGGCTTTATTTTAGTCATTTTACCCTTAGCCATTAAGTAGATGTGAAATGTTTGTATAAATTAGGCCTTGGTAGATTTGATGTATTGGTATATAAAGTGGTAAAAATGTGCTTAAATATTGAGTGCCCTATTGGAGTGAGGCTGTCAACACAGATACTCACAGTCAGATAACGAGAATCCAGGTCCACCTTCTTCTCCAGCTCAGAGAGCAGCTCGTTGTGGAAGGATTTCAACTGGAGAGAAAACACAAACACACAAAATGCATTAACAAATCATTCATGGAGGGTCCCCTTAGAGACCGAGATCAGAGACAAAGTTATCCATATTAAGTTGTTTGCAATATACAAATAGGTTATTCAAATACAAGGGTTATTCTCATTTACTCTGTCACTGAATGAATGTTTTATCAACAAAGTCTCGGCCTGTGAAGCTTCTCTCAGCTTGCAAATCACTGTCACTGTCACTTATTCAGCGCTATCTGACACAAAATTCAGTCACTTGATTGTAAACTGCCCTGCCTGAAGGAAGAGCAATAAAAGCAGAATAAACGGTGAATCTCTTCTCATTATGTTCTTTATACCACCTGTGTAACATCGTCAGTCAGCTGTAGGGCTGTCCCGAATACCATTTTTCGGGCTGTTGTTTTATAGTTATTTGTTAATGTAACCCAATTTGTGTTCTTTGAAATTGAAAAGGATATCGCATTGTGTTTGATACTTTCGTTGCAGTTGAATAGTCCTATTTATGGACATGCTTTTATTTTGAAGGAGAGTTAGCGCTGTTGACAGGAAGTTGTTGTTGCTTTGGAAACAACGTGACGGAGATTAACGGAGAAAAGTAATATCTACATATAAAGACGGAGAAAGTACAGATGTAGCACTGAATTTCAGACTCCAGTTTACAGCTTCCTGCCTACGACCTGCCTAAGACCAGTATAGAGGAATGTTAAGCCCTCCCACTATTTTCCAAGAGGGCGTTGCCAGATTTTCAATTTCAGGTTT